TTGTAAGTGTATCAGGACGTTCAACTGTTGCCTTTTGAACTAAGCAATAAGATAGGATTCTCAGGCCTGTTTAAGGTCATTAATACATCTCGGTCTTACATTTGCCAAGGCAATGAGATCTCCAACCTCAGGCTCATACTTGCCTTTGCCATTCTCCTCTTCTCTCATTCTCTTCAAGAAAATGTCATAGAACAAGTCTTTGGGAGGCTTAAAGCCTTTAGAGATTCTAACATCGAAAATTTCACACATAGGTGCACGTGACAAGTTTGTCACGTTTGAGAGCAAATTAGCATGTGTTTCCTCAATAAGTGGGTAGATGAATGAGTTCATGTAATCAGCTGTCGAAGAAAATGTTTTTGGGATTTCTCTCACCTGTCAAAGATACAGAATAGAGTCATGAGTAAAACACATGAAAATTTTCACTTGTACAAGACTTATCAGAACACACAGCCATAACACACATGCAACAAAAACACAAGCTAACAACTATAATACTTGATATGACATGGATTTGGCATTCTCAAGAACTCAATAGCAATTGGTGATTGTTATTTCGATATTACAGGAAACTACTTTGTTGCTATATAATATGTATATCGCAAAAATGGCTTAAAGATGGAGCGTCACAAGAATTGGAACAATTACCTTGCAATTGAAACAAACTCTTTTAAGTTCCATCAATCTATCAAAAATCAATAAAAGAAGAAGCAGTAGAGACAAAAACACTACCACCCCCATTTGGGCTCCGCCAATCACATAATAATTTGATGGCGTTGCTACTTGGCTGACATAATGTCAGTGCAATTGAAGCATTGATTGCTATAAAATGGGTTAATATATATATACATATAACATCGTGTTAAGTTCCATCAATCTTGCAATTAATAAAACAAGAAAGTAATAGTGACAAAAAATACTACTATCCCATTTGGGCTCGGGCTAATTATAAAGTAATTTGTTTGAAGGTGTAGTTATTGGCTGATATAATAGGAGTGAAATTATATATATATAACATCGTGTCCGAAGATATTCTATAATATCAAAATTAAATATTGATTATAAAATATTATATATTTATTTTTAGTTACACAATTTAAAATTAAAATGAATAGATTGAAAAATATAAATTAGTGAGATTGTTTGACATTGAAAGTGTGTTGGTTGAGGTAACTGACATCCGGAGCTTTGAGCCCGGTAAAAAATTTTTGGATAAATTTTAAACTATTAGATCAAAATAAATAAAAATTTATATCAATATTAACAATTGTTATACTTTTATAAATTAAGGTTTCAATTTTTCAACTGTAATATTAGATATATTAGATATTAGATCTAAAAAAAAAACTGTAATATTAGATATATATTATATATGTATAAAAGGCAAGACAAACCTTCCCTTGTAGAGATCCTTATTACAAACATCAGCAATGGACCAAGAGAAAACCAAATCGATCAAGCCTTGACCCGGCCTGGATTCTGCTTTCTTCGAAGATGTTGTCGTCGTCGTCGTCATCATCTCTCCTTCTTCTTTATATTATTTAGTGCCCAAAATCCTTTATCATTCCAAACATTAGAAACCTCGAAAACACACACTCTCAAACACTTAATATTACACACACATTCACAGAAAAAATGACAGAAAGGTCGCTTACCAACCAACTAGGAAAGCATAACAGGAAGAAGAAAACCCAAACTGTTGCTAAAGAGAGTAATGCTTCTCTGATAATATGGACGTTGCAAATCTATATTACCCAACTTTATGCTTTTGAGGTTCCAAAGCTCCAAAGTATAGTAAAAGATGCCCATAATAATAATAATAAAAAAAAAAGTGTGTATGAATGATGGAATGGAATAATTAATAAAGAAAGAGACCCAAGCTGACTACAAGTCAAGAGAACAACAAAAGTTTGATCGCCCAATGTAAGAGAAGGGAAACAGGAACCCACCTACTCTTCCTTAGCCGTGTCATCTCCGTGTGTGTGTGTACACCTACGTCTACCTCTTTCAGGTGTAAATGGAAAATTGAGCAATGCTATATGGAAAATCAATCATTCTCTCTTGGTACGAGTTTGTGTGTAGAATTTGAGAAGATTTTTAAAAAAAAATTATGAAAATTTCAATTTAATTTTTTTTTTATAAAAGGTAAGGGCAGCGACACTTGCCAAAAAAATATATATATATATATATTCCACGCATATGTTGAAGTTTGTTACTTAATACATTCTTAACATTTAAAATATTATACACAGACACTTGAGATTTATATACACGTAACACTTAGACTCTTGTCATCGTTGTCCATTAGTCTATCTATTAATAAATTATACCTACACCCTAAAGTTTATAAACATAAAATATTTAGACCCTTCAACTTTGAAATATTACACTTAAACCCTTTATTAGTTGCGGAACTTACCAAATCAATTAAATGATCAAATTACTCTAATTAAATATATAAGGTAATGTATTCATTACAGTTTGATCTCTTATTTAATTTTTTAACTTTATTCTAATAGATAATATAATACTATAATTACATGCAAATGAGTGTTGAATTTAATTTTTTGATATATTTATACACAGTTCATATTTTTGAGTCACTTATTGACTTAGGAGGCATCGGAGAGTCGACCTCTGGAGCTCCCCTCTGGTTTTCGACTTCTTTCTCAAGGCATTGGAAAGCCCAACAAACGAACGTATAAATCGTCCAAATTTTGACATCAATAATACTAATTATGATTTTTTATTAAAAATTTTAATTTTTAATTTTAATTTTATTTCAATAAATAATATAATAGAACGTGAATCTTGGTTATAAAATTTAAACTATTTGATATTTCACCTTTAATTAGAATATTTTTTGTCTAAGTGTAATATTTTAAACTTAAAGAGTCTAAGTGTTGCACGCTTATAAACTTTAGAAAATCTAGGTATAATTTGCTAATAGATATATTAATGGACATTGTTGATAAAAGTCTAAGTGTTATGTGCGTATAATCCCAAAAAAAAATTGTATGTAATATTTTAAATATCAGGAGATCTAAGTAATTAAGTAACAATTCTCAGGACCTTAAGTGTAATTTTTTCAAAAAAAATTCATAGGAAAGTGAAAGGTCGAGAGAGAGAGAGAGATGGAAAAAGCGAAGGCCTGACCATTATGGCGAGGACAAAAGGACATCATGGTTTTCTTGAATCTATTACCAATATACCCTATTTATCAAATGGTTTTCATGTGTAATATTGTCACATGCATGAAAAGCTTTCCTAACCTAGCTACCAATATTTTCTGCAGCCTCATTAAGGAAGACCCATAAATATTATTTAGATCTTCGATTACTGATCTATCTAATATCTCAAATTGATTTAGAGAGGTTTTGTTTTGGGAAGGGGGGTAAGTTGATTTAGGAAATTTTTCGTAGTCAAAGACAATTTTTTTTTGAAGTTGAAATTCTTCAGCCCACTAGCAGAATTGATCCAGCTCTCTTTCAGTCCACTAACAGAATTTTGAAGTTGAGTAACCGATCATGAAAGCTTCGCACTATAGCCTTAAGTAAGTATTTTTTTACGTGAGCTACTAGATCTTGATCTAATGGTCATAATCAAAGAAGCCAAAAATAAATTAGCAAGATCTAGGGGTGTCAATGGGTCGGGTTCGCCCAATAAACTGTTACCCGACCCAAAAAATAAGTTTGATAGTTGTTCCGCCGATCCCAACTCAAATTCAATATTCTTAAAGAGAGGGCTTAGGCTTGCCCTCAAGCCTGACCCATGAGTCTGTTCACAAAATTGGCCCAATAACCCATCCACCAAGCTAAGCGAGACCCGCCCGCCTTTTCAGTCATTTGTTTGACAAAATATTAACTATTAAAATTTTAAAAGTTTAGTGGCAATATATAACTCTACTTTATTTAAATAAAATTATTTATTATTTATTTTTTTGTTTATTTTGACTTTACTTTTAATTTGAAAATATAATTTATAAAAATATCAAATTGAAAATTTTGGGAATAAAATGGTACATATTTATATATATATATATATATAAAGGTCCGCCCAATGAATGGCGGGTTGAGTTGTGAATAATTTTTCCCTACTCAAAACTTGGCTCGACCCGGCCGATAACCCGTGCCGAGTAAGGACTTGGGTATTTCCTAACTAGACTTGGCCCGAAAAAAAAATTTGAGGGCCTGGCCCATGAACCACACCTACCAAGTTTAGCTATTTACTAAATAGGAAGTTTTAATAACATATTAATTGCAAGGGAAAATCCCACTTTGTCTGTTGAAAGATACAAATTTTTTCACTTTGTCTCAAATGATTAATTTTTTTATATTACCCCTGAAAGATGTTAAAAGGTTACAATGCAATCCATCTTTATTTTTCTGTTTGTCGTCCGTTTGATTTTGTTATCACGTGAAGAGGGGTTGTATTGTAAAATCATTTTCTGTGCAAACCCTGTCTTCCTCTACCTCTCTCTCTCTCTGTTTAGTTCCCACTGAAGCTAATTTGTTCTGTTTTGTGCTCTGTTTCTTCCCCTGTATCAAACCATTACAGAGACTCTGTGCACTAGGGAAGTAGTTGTGGCTGAGCCTAATACCCCAAACCCAAGTCATTGGCTAGATTGGATCAGACCAATGACCCAGAAGAGGACATTAACGTTGAGGAAGAAAAGGAGGTTGGCTAACAGTAGAGGGTGGCTATAGCACCATGTCCACAGATAAGCGAGAGAGTCTCCATCACCAGTTATAATAGGATGATCATGAAAATGGCGGAGGAAGGAGAGGTAGAATAGAATGGAGGGAAGAGGAACCAGAAATGCTATAACTGCATTCTTCAAGTTTCCGGCTGCACCACCGGTGGGATTAGTTCCATTGCCGTCCATGGTTTGCGAAACGCCTAGCCACTAAGGACCAATGTCATTTGAGTGTAGCAATTCCCCCCTTTTGCAGTTGTAATTGCTAGCTGTTTTGTTCAGGTGGAGCATGTGGTTATGGAAATATGTACAGCCAAGGCTACGGAGGAAAACACGGCGGCACTGAGCACAGCCCTTTTCAACAATGGTCGGAGCTTGCTTCGAGATCAAGTGCGCCGAAGATCCAAGGTGGTGCAACCCAGGAAGACCCTCCATTTTGTCACCGCCACAAACTTTTGTCCACCCAACTATGCTTTACCAAATGACAATGGTGGGTGGTGCAACCCTCCTCGAACCCACTTCGACCTCGCCATGCCCATGTTCCTCAAGATTGCCCAATACTGTGCCGGTATTGTTACGGTCAATTTCCGCCGGTGAGTTATAAGACCCAAAACCCTCTAAGTCAGTGGGTTTGCACAAAAAATGATTTTACAATACAACCCCTCTTCTTCTCCCGTGCAAACAAAATCAAACGGATGACAAAAAAAATAATGATGGACAAACGGAAAAATAATGATGAACTGCATTGCAACCTTTTAATATCTTTCGGGGGCAATATGAAAAATTAATCATTTGTGGGCAAAGTAAAAAAATTTGTATCATTCAGAGGGCAAAGTGGGATTTTCTCTAATTGCAACTCTAAACTTAATAGGAAAGTGTATTTATTTTTTTTCCAATTCAAATATTTTACAGACAATTTTTTTTTGACTCACAAATTTGACCAAGGCGGCTCAGTCAAGAGACCATGTGTATAACTCATCTCATTTCTTGTACCCATTTCTTTGTGTGTCTTTTTCCATGGAAATTGAAAGTTTGTCCATTTTGAATTTATGTCTTCTATTAAGAATTAGTGGGTAGGCTTCAAATATTACAATCTTTCAAAAATTCATTGGATTTCTATTTGAATTTGTATATATTGCTTGAAACTTAAGGATTGTTTTTTTGATGGTAAAACAATTTTCATATGTATAATGGTTCAACATCGTAATATTTGTTATTAACGCAAAAACAGTAAAATGCATTGACGGTGTAATTGCAAATCAATCTTTGTATAAAGCAATACATATTTTATGCTTTCTATCTCATTAGTCTCCTAAACATACTCATCAAAACTACCACTTTGGACTCTTAGCCGAGAAGCACATCATCAAAGCCTAAAACACACCATTATTGACCTAAAGCTTTCTAGCATATCTAACCAATAAATAATCAAGTGCCCAATTTAATTATTCAAAAGGCTTAGGTGGTTGTAGATGAGCATACTTTTACATTGGGTGTGAAAGTTAGAGCATGAATCATGATATAATAACTTGGATGGACTGAAAGCTATAACTGCAAAGGTTTGTGCCTTCAGAAGGAGAGAGCCATGAAAGGAGATGGGTTTGTGTGAGACCGAGAATTTTATAGCTTTTTCATCCCAAACAGGTATAATAAATCCAATGGATTATATACATTGACCTGCCTGGGTCAAATTTATAAGTTAAAAAACTATTTGTTTTTGTTTGTAAAATTTGGAAAATAAATAAATAAACTTTCTTAATAAGATTAGAATCTCAATTAAGATGTCATTGAAACTTCCTATTTTATAAAATAGCTAAACTTAGTAGGCCTAAATAATTATTTGTTGGCGTCTTAGATTAGCGACTGTTAGATCTTGATCTAACAACTTTTGTAAGAAGTACTCCCTTAAGGCAAACTATATATATGGAGTAGCACAAAAATTCTGCATTATAGCCTTTAGTGCAGTGTTTTAAAACTCGGTCCGACGGATTGACCCGGTAAACGGGTGAATCGATGCTTAAAGCGGGCCGGTTTAATCTTTGGATCGTTTATGCACCACACCCATTTGAAACCCATTGAACCGTTTAAATCGGACGAGTTGAACTAAACCGGTCGGGTCGGTTATAATGGTATAAAAAGCTGAGTTTTGGGCATTTTTGCCCTAAATCAACACTTGACGATGGCAGTCTCTCACATTAGACTTGAGTTTCTGATCTAGTACCCAAGTCGATCGAAAAACGTTGTTCACCAAGTCGAAGCCAACCTCTGCCTCTTCTCTTCGCAATGATCGATCATCGATCGATTAGCTACTAAGAGTCCTCTTCTCTTCGACAACCCTAAATCTACAGTCTCTCTCTATCTCTTTGAGTTTTTTCTCTCAATTTCTGTTCTCTCTATGTCGCTGCTAGCAAGTAAAGGATGAAGCTGAGCTTCAAAGATCCATTCTATTGAAGCATCGAACCATTGACAACCCTTGATAGCATGTACACTTCTCTCTCTCTCTCTCTCTCTCTCTCTCTCTCTCTCTTTCCCCCTCTTTCTCTCTTTTTCTGTAGTTATCTCTGTTATGAGAGCTTTGGTTTCCTGTGGCTTATAGGGTTGAATTTTGAAATCTTGTGGTGGTTTGAGAAGGAAGTGGCTTTGTGTCAAATCTACCAATTTACCAACTTGGTTTGCAATTTGGTTTGAGACGGAAGTTTCCCTGTGGCATATCAATCTCGGTCTGATTATGGCTATATGCCCTAATCTACTAATTTAGTTTGTAATTTTTGATTTAAGTTGTGTGTGATTCAAGCCAAATTGTTGAAAAGATGACCAAATTTGAGTAACTTGAATTTTATGATTTGTTTTAGCAATTGTAGTTCTTGTTGTTACTATATTTTTTGAACCAAACAAAGGATATAATTTAATGTTTTATTGTTATTATTGTTATTATAATTTAATTGAAGAATGCAAATTACATGGATTATGCTTGAATTGAATGATTGATGCATGGTCAGAGACTTGACCTTAGAGTCTTGAAGTTAAAAACATGAATTTTTTTGATGTGTAAATATAGATTTACCATTAGAAATTAAATGCATTGGACACATATTTGATTATTTTTCTCTACTTAACTTTACATGTTTGCTACTATTATCATAATTATTGTAATTTTTTAGCTTATTTATTATTATTTATTTTTTTATTATATGACCAGTTCGACCAGTAACCCAACGGTTGAACCAATGGACCCATTGACCCAGTCCCTCTACTGGGTTCATGTCCGGGCCGGATTTTAAAACTATGCTTTAGTGGATACTTTTTATGTAAATCATTAGATCGTGATCTAACAGGCAAAGATGCTCAAAATTAATTATGAAGATCTACCAAATTTATTTCTTCACTAAATGGGAAATATCTAAAACATATTTATTGTGATCTAGTCCTATTAGAAAAGTCTTAAAGGTTAAATATAAAAAAAAAAAATTAACTCTTCTTAAATATTAACGACTCGACCCAATGACCCAGATGATTTTTATATTTACCCATCTAATTTATTATATCTGTTTAGGTTAAAAAAAATAAAAATAAACATAATGAGTTATAGATATTTATAATTTTTTGATCAAATTACCAAATAACCAATCAATTGACCAATTGATTAATTAAACTATTCAACAAACTTAAAGTCTTGTGGGCATGCGTGTAGCATGGGTTGAATCATGATGCAAAAAATTACCATAACTAATGGATAGACGGCAAGGTAGCACATACACTGCTAGTCTGCTACAAACTTTTGCGCCTTGCTAGGAGATAGTCATAGTTTTTTTCAAACGGTTATAATAAATTAGATGGATAAAAATAAAAAGCATCCGGTTATTATTAATCTTTAGGAGGAGTCAGAATTGTTTATATTATTAATCTTTAAGACTTTCCTAATAGGATTAAATCATAATAAATATGTCATAGATATTTCCTATTTAGTGAAGAACTAAATTTGGTAGGTTTTAATAATTAATTTTGAGTATTTTTGTCTAATGACCAATCTAACGGTATACATAAAAAGTATCTACTAAAGGTTATGATGCAGAGTCTCCATAATCGTGTTACTCTCTCTCTCTCTCTCTCTCTCTCTCTCTCTCTCTCTATATATATATATATATATATATATATATATATAATATAAAGTAAAACGATTTTGAATTCAAAAGACAAAGAGTGGTTCAGATCGTTTCGAAATCAAAAAAGGCATCATCCAACGACCGACGATATTTCAAGCTATTGACGTCTCAAATTGTTTCGATCCGAATACCATATTAGCTCTTGAAAATTTTTTGCTGTTCAAAACTTTTAATTTCCAAAACTAACATCTCTAAATTTAATTCTTGAACCCAATCAAATTCGGCAATTAAGCGAACTCTCATTCCTCAACTCTCTCTCCCTCTCCCTAAAATACAGATTACAATTTTTATTATTATTTTCCTGATTTTATTTCTTATGTTAAGGGATCACTTTTTATACTAAGACATTGAGTATCTCTCACATTCTCATCTTTCATGATTCACTTTCCAAACTGAGACACATGTCTCTCCAAAATTCTATCCTAATGCAGCTACTCTCCATCTTAATTGTTAATATCACACACAAATCTTTATTGTATATATATAGTACACAGATCAAAGGCATACTATATCTACATGTTATATCTTAGGAAAAGTTTCATCTAAACACCATGTAGTTAAGTCTAAATTTAATGACAACCCTTATAACAATAACTTTTGTCTCTATCAGTAGATAGAATAATGATTTAACTAAATATTTTATGAAAATACTAAAATTACTCTTTATTATGTAAATAGACTAAAATGTCATCAATTTTTTCCCCATTATATATGCGCTAACCAGCCAATAAACATAATTTTAATCATTATATTATCTCAATGAATTTTTTATTTTAAAATGTCGTATTATAACTTTATTATAATATTAGTCATCATATTATCACTCATTTGGTAACATAATCAAGTTTTTATATATTTTTTTTTCATAATAATTGTTATAGTTAAAAATAATTTTTCTATAATAAAAATTACAATTGATAAAGTCAATGTTAAAATCTCATTCATTTCTAATTCTTCTGCTATCATATGTCCTCCACAACATCGCTCGACCGCTCCTCACACATCATACTTCATATATAAAATTTAAAATTATTTGATAAAATTTAATATTAATTGAATAAATTTGATCTTAATTTTGATAAATTTAAATATTAATTTAATTTGAATTTGATAAAATTAAATATTAATTTAGTATTAATTTGATTGAATTTAATGTTAATTGAATAAATTTGAATGTTGTTTTAATAAAACTAAATGTTTATTTGGTGTTAAATTAAAGAAATTACATTAATTTGATAAGGTTAAATTTTAAATTAATGGAATTTAATATTCTATTTAATAAATTAAATAGTTTAATTTAATAAAATTGAATTTCAGTTTGATGTTGATTTGATAAAAATAAATAATAACTTAATATTAAATTAAAGAAATAATATTAATTTAGTTTAAATTAAATAAAGAAAATTAATTTAATAAAATTGAATATTAAATTAA